AATATGTATGTTCGTCCATGTGCGACATATCACAGGAACAATATGATCATTTATCACATGAACGAATTATGCTGTATTTTCATTTTCTTAGAAAATTCGTTATCAGTGCAGATAACAACTAGAAATGGTATCTTTGTTTGTTTAAAAAATCAGGTATGCAATAGGAACTGTTTTCTAAAATTTCATATACGTAGTATTAATTCAATAAAAAAAATCGTTATTAAAACAGTTATTATTGTTTGATAAATAATTATTCTGATATTTAGATACGAACTAACGTTACAGACTTGATAAGAAAATTAGGAATGTGACGGTAACAATTTGGTGTCAGTCAGCCGCTCACCATATATAGAAATATATTGTTTATATAAAGCTGCTAACAACCTGATTATCAAATGTACCCTGAAGATGCTAACGCAGTGTGTAGGAAACGCTTTGGTGCTGAATGTCATTATCCGTACAGTTTGGTACCTTCAGCTATGAACTGGCAACATACAAGTGCGAATTCCAATTGTTAATCCGTATGAAACGCTAGTTGATTTAACCATGTTAATACCTGTCTAATCAGTTTGTATAAATTTACTGTCAGATGTTTGCTCCTGGAGTAGTTGTGAGTTATTGGTCATACTTCGACTTACGAGCATGCTTCGCTGAGTGTGGTAACATACAGCTAATATCTGCTACTGAAGCACCATTGGTAATGCGCGCGGGATGGCTGTGGTAAGGCAAGAAGGCTTAAATATTCCCCCTACAAGCACCTAAGAATGACCATACGCGTAGCTTTCATAGCTGCGCTATTCCAAACCATAAAAAATCTCGTTTAAAGGCTAGCTTTGGATCTAAAAGTGATGCAATGTAGTGCTGTGGAGCATGTTGCCACTTAAGAAAATGTTTGCACAATTCTCCACTGGTAATATTTATAGATACGATTATCTCAAAGGATACAACAATCCAGCATAATTTACAACAATCAGTCATCGGCACAAAAGACAAACCAATCTGGCGATGATAGTAAACTGTGTCACTAAAATCAGACGAAAATGAGTAACTGAAATACTTATAGAAAACGGGAAGTGTTCCATACGAATGCAATCAGTAATAATCATAATATACTATACAATTTTAATGGACATCGTTACTAATGACTCTGTATAAAAGAAACAAGCAGATACTTGTATCATATGCACAGAGCTTTAAACTTCCAACCAATCTGTCAAGGGTGGGCTGGAACAAGTGTCACAAAATACATATTGTACAATGTTGAAGAAGATTCTTGCAACGCAACATGAAACTACATTCCTCATCCACGGTGACAATATACGGTCATGGTGAGGCAATCAATTGTCTATCGGTCAGGCTTAGGCGCGTTCTCCGCGGATGCGACGAGCCAACTGAATATCCTTAGGCATGATGGTAACGCGTTTGGCATGGATCGCGCACAGATTCGTATCTTCGAAGAGGCCAACCAAATACGCCTCGCTTGCTTCCTAAATTGCATATGGATATTATGCATATAAGAATGTGAGCTATATCGTAACGTAAAAAAAGCAGCCATCATAATGAAGGAAAATACGATGTACTTTATCGATTCGCTACACTAGTTGTTCAGGATGTCGCGTTATCTCTCATTAAATGTTTAAACGATAGGTTAAGAAAAACGATAACAAGGGACTTCCTTATGTTTAAAATAAGTCGATGCAGAAGAGATACGCTCGAATTCAGTTCATTTAAGGCAACTGGATCGCAAATACTTGAGAATTTAAAGTGATTTTGCTTTACTCAGTGAGTTTATAAAATCCGTAACATTAAGCTGTAGTGTGCAAAACTATGGAAGTGGACACGAAATTAATATTAGATAACTAATTCCAACCGTTCGACACGCCAAGAGCAACGGACATTCGATGAGACGTGCTATTTGGTCATCCCCTCGGTAGCTTGTGTTTACTAAAGCACTACATTACTCTCAGACAATTTGGTTCTACGTAAGGCACTGTTACACAATTACTTTATATTACAGTAGAACTTTATACTTAATTCACTGCAAGACGGTCGGAAGGAAAGTGCAGAATATGGACTAATTTTGCTCAGAAAATAATTCGTAAACGATTCTTACACCATAAAAGGACGATTATGGTAAAATGAAGAAAAAACAAAGGGGATGTGCATTTGGTATTACAAAAGTACACAAAAAAGCGTTATATCGTGTTCTTTGAAACCAATATTTGATGATTTGGAAATGCAGATCGTAATCATGCAGCAGAAATACGACAAAGAAAACAGTCTTTAGTCCTCGAAATCTCAGCGGGTATGGAGTAAATCGATTAAAGATCTGCTTTGTTTTTCTGATAAAAAAATCGTACAGAATACCGTAGTTTGTAAAGAGCGGTGTGACAGCTCAACAACTTGCGACCATGAAAGAAATGAGCTGACTACAATGGAATTGAAGCTAATCGTAACTGATAAATGAACGAAGAAACATAATGAATGGCAGCTGATCAAATACAGAGCATCCGTTACAGTGCCGTAAAAATATCCAAAGCACGGTTTGTTCTGTAATCAGGTTGGGGTAGGATAAAATTGAAAAGAGGAACTAAGAACCAGAAGAGTCCAATGAACTAAATGAACATAGGATTAAGAAGTGTTTAAAGATCCGTTTGGTGGCAATAATCTATTAAAGATTTTGCCACCTCAGATCTATTAGCTAATTTCGTGTAAAGTTTTCGTACCTGAAGTGCTCCTATAGCGGCAGACTGGAAACGCAAATCCGTCTTGAAATCCTGTGCTATTTCGCGGACCAATCGCTGGAAGGGGAGTTTTCTGATAAGCAGTTCCGTAGATTTCTGGTAACGACGGATCTCTCGCAGAGCAACGGTTCCTAAAGTGATAAAGCCGCAACGAGTGCCTCAAAAGTCAGAAAAATCACTTATATAAATTACCAGGACGGTAGCGATGTGGTTTCTTGACTCCACCAGTAGAAGGGGCCGATTTTCTGGCCGCTTTTGTCGCCAACTGCTTTCGTGGAGCTTTGCCTCCGGTAGACTTACGTGCGGTCTGCTTCGTACGAGCCATTGCAAATTATATCATGTCTAGAAAGCAACGGTTATATGATTCGAATATCCGAATACAACAAAAACATGATAAAATTATAGACAATTGAAATAAAAAAAACATGCTACTAAAGCTGTCCTCATGACTAAACTCGCGCTGCATATTCAAGAAGAAAAACTTAGAAGATAGTTAAAACAACTTATTAGTACCAGAAAATTTTTTGAAAACTTGTTTTCAAGTAGCCAAAA